GAGCGCATATTATTGTTTAATCACATTGTCTGGGCAAACCGAGACTATGCCACCTACTAACGATAGTGCAATAATAATACATATTTTGCACGTCAGTTAAGGATCACAGAACACCGTGTTATAACTATGCAAGTTGACTCCAAGGAGGGGCGCATTAACTATATTATATGGTTAAAAAGTGATTTATTACCATTTTTTTTTTTTACTTTTTAACTCAACTATAGTTAGTCGAGTTAAAAAGTAGGTAGGTAATATTAGAAAATTAACTCAATATCTTAAATGGATACTTTAAATGTAGGTACCTACCTATATGTATTAGTTTATTAAATTATATCCATTGCAATAACTCATCTAGCTTATACCAGTTCAATTGAAACATCGTAATGATGTATAAGTATATAATATATTTCAACTGTAATTAAAACTGTTTAATTGTCTATTTTATTGTTTAATTCACCTATATACAATTATTTTAAATAAAAATCAGTAGTTAAATATTAATTAACTTATGAACTTGTATTGATATATAACCGTATAATATCATGTATTATTCAAATGCGCAGTATGGCCACACACCACATGCAAATAACTTTTTCCAGTGTTTCGAAATCTTAAAACGGAGAGCCCATAACTACTTATGTATCATATACCGAATGACGTGGTTTATCATAACGATTCGAAATTTTCGGAGAAAAACATAATGTTTGCGTGCCATGGGAATTTTACTGTATATATATGCGACAACTGGACAAACTACAACGAAATAATTTAATAACACTACTTATTAAAACTGTTCAACAATACTTGCAGATGACCGCTGACCCAAAACGATAATTATAATTATTTATTACCCATCTGATCATCGGAAATAAGTCGATTTGCGGCGACGAAAACGACATAGCTGGTAGCAAATTGCTGTTATTACAAATAATAATTGTAAAATGTCTATTAAAATACACCTCCGAGTGTGACTGAGGAATGATGGAATGAAATTATACTGCAGAGTACAGGTCGTATGACGAATAATGATTTGTTTTTGAAGAACAGTGTTTATAAATAATTAGATTTCTCGCTCGAACGAAAATATTATAAACACATTTTTTTTTGTATCAGCAGTTTTTCACCTTAAATTTGCATATCGGAAAAATAATAATAATTTCTAAATTAAAATTTTACTTTTCAGATAATAGAGTTATTTGTGCGCATCGCAATCGAGCTCCGCCGCCGTATATAAAGATAGGGAGAAAGACTGTCGCTGCATTATTATATGTTTCCGCATTATAGCGTTCACATATTTAGGCGCGTATAGTGAGAGTAGACAGCGTACGTGTAATAACAATGATCATGAGTGAGAGCGATTATATTGACATCAGCATCGGCCGCAAACTAACATGCGGTGGTATGCAACTCGGCAATAATACTCTATATAATATATGACGATGCGTATACGAAGACAATTACGACGGTGGTCGGTGCTGGAGACCGGAAATAAATTTTCGACGGACGATTACCGCCGCGCATCCGCAAAATTTTACGAAAATTTGCGGTCAGTCGATACTATATCCGATAAGCGTCGTTATTTCGCTCCGATGTCAGTGGTTCGCGCTTGCACACATGGCACATTTTATTATAACTCTCACCCGACGTTTCCCCTCCATACGATGGTCCACCATATCCCGCCCAACTATCAGCCAAACAGTAGTTGTCGTCGTTTTTACACATAATGATACTGTTTGAAATCCACTGATACTCGCTTTCTTAGTTCATATACCGATAGTTTGATAGGTTTTATTTATCGATCGACATGCAAGTATCTGTTGATCTATGACCGTTTTAAAGCCATCGCATATAAACGCACTTGCATTAATTAAATTTAAAAAGTTTTATATTGAGATGTTTCATCTCATTAGTGATTAATTTATTGTTTTTAATATTTCTTAATACTTATATTTAACGTGTAATGTCTGTACTGAAAACGCGAAATAACATTTTTATATAAATCTACCTACCTAGATATATATGATTGCCAGTTATTAAAATATTTTTTTTATGAGAAAAATTCCATTTTAGTGTTCCGGATTTCTTAAAATTTTATCTGGCAACCCAAACCTACTGCAAACATAGGTATATAAACTTTGCTGTGAAGCAAAGCTGCCAACGGGGCAATGTTAACAAAACATTAACAGTTATGGGAATTTTTTTAATTGATAATAATTACTGGCGTTTTCTACTGATTGTTAAATTAATTATTATTTTAAAATAGTAACAAAGTAATTTGTAAAATAAATTAGTCACTGACGACATGGTTTTATATTATAATATTGGTATTAGCTCGAAATACTTATAATAACTCGACTTCCCTAGTGGAATAAAATGTAAATCAAATATTACAATACGAAATTATTAAAAAATAAAAATGCCTTACAGTAAAAATGGTACATGAAAATAACCCTTCCCCTGTCCAAAAATGGGGCATAGTTGAGAAGTTTACATGAATGTTTGGAACAACTTCGAGAAAAAATCAAACCGTAAAAAAGTTCAACAGAAACTTGGTATTTAATACTTATATTTAAAATTTATTTATATTTTAGGTATAATATATTAAGACATACATTCGCTTAAAATTATATACTACTATACCTGAGGGTACAACAAATAAAAATATTTCGCAATATTCAAATATAGGTATAGGTATATGGAACACGAAATTGCGTATAGTGTTATCATTAATGATGATTATCTATATTTAGTACCTATTTACATTTCAAATTTAAACATTGATTTGTCGACACTTGACGGCCAGTTTCATTATGCGTTTTTACAGCAGAATATGACAAAGTCAGTCATCCAGTTGTTTTTATAGTCGATCTGTGAAATGCACAGACCTGTATGATCTCTAACAGCGAGAGAGCCGATGGAAATCGAAAAAAATTGAAGAAATATTATATCGCAAAGAAGCAAAGTCTCTTTCACCACTCGCACGCACAAAGCCACAAACACGTGTGGGCTGTCGTTTCGACATAATAAAATATTATATTATATATTTATACCTATCTTTCACCAAAAACGAGTCGCAGTAGTGATCTTTCTCTTTTTTCGCCGACGAACTGCGAAAGGCCACTGCCAAGGCCACGGCCGTGTGCGCTCCTACCCACGGACTGCACTCTGACCGTTGAGCAATAATCATACAGTTTATTATTATATTAATACCACGGACCAACTTATAAGATGACTTTTCGCAGCTATCCTGCAGCAACGATACGGCTAACGATTTCCAAACGAATCGATGACACGGATATTGACAATCGAAATAGATTCCTAACTGCGACAATTTTTTATACTCACATTCTCGATGAAATAGTAAAATACTATTACCTGTATATACACCAAGGCATACGAAATTTTACTCTGTACTCTCGACATCATCGTACACACGACGTGCGTGTTGCTGTCGCGTTTGCATTTAGGATAGTTACCCATTGCGAATATTTCGTGACGTTGCAAATGTCGACGATCCAATTGTGTTTCCACCGTGTGATCCGCAACGATATTTCAACAAAGAAAATTCGACAAAAATTCGTATAATAACACGGTTCGCCCTACATATTTTATTATACTTAAATTATGCTCACAGATAGGCACCTATAGATGAGAGTCGTGAGAGAAGGGAGGAAGTGTAGTCCACAGTATTATGCTATACGCAATATGCATTGATACAACAGTCGTGTGTACTTTGTACGTGTTTTAATATAACGACTTAAGACTCTGAACTCGACGGAAAACTCATAGATAGTACTAGAGCAATAACACGTGATTTTGAAATCGTTTAGTAAATTATTTGATAATAATAGGTAAAACACCATATTTTCAATTAGAATTATTGCTTCTAGTGCATATAATAAAAATACATAGGTACCTACCTACCTACTGGAGTACTAAGAGGATGTCAGGGCACTATTTGTTTTCTCTATCTGGCCCAAGCGCAGCATAGACAAATATCATTAACGCAAAATCATTTTTTCCATATTTTTATGTATTCTCAGAGTAAAATTATAAATTCGAAAAAAAGATAGAGAATAATATTTTTGAGGGAAAGACATATTGATTTTATATATTTTTATAGTTATATGACTATGTTATTCGACTTTTAAAATAAACAAAAAAATGTTGTACATTAAAATGATGTTTAAATTGTTTCGAGACAATATTGAGGCAAATCGATATGACATTCTCTCAAAAATATTATTCTATCTTTTTTTTGTAATGGGTGATTTTACTCTAAGATTACTTAAAAACATAGAAAAAAAGATTCTGCGTAAATGTTTTTTGTCTATGTGGCGCGTAGGCCAGAGAGAGAAAACAAATGGTGCTCTGACATCCTCTTAACGGTTAGAATAGTTTATAATAATATGACATAAGTATTAGGGATTTGTCAAAACGTGGTGTAGGTTTAAATATTATGTATGTTGAAATCACCCTATGTCCCCGTTGTATCCGTTTAGTTAACAGTTTACCTACATAGTTACGATTGTTGATATTAATAGGTGGTATTTATTTATCGTTCGTAGTTACTAGTTAGGTACTGTACATAGTGACGATTGTTTGTATTAAGATTTTCTAACGGTTTTATTCAAAATAGATATACATATAACAGCCAGTATTAAAAAATAGGTTCCAAAATATAAAGAATACTAAATTGTTTTTAATAGTTATAATTGCGTTGTATTAAAATACGTTTAGAAACCGAGAATTCGGCACACTCACAGAGTGAGCTTTCCAAACTATTTTGTTTTATTTCTGTTTTTGAATTACCGATGTCTGAATTATTATTGTAAATTCTGAAATCTCGATTGCCGACAAATATCCAAATTATAAACATATTTTTCCGATTAATTTTGGAATATATTAACTATTTATTTTTTTTTATAACGCAATTTCTCGTGTATTCACCGCCATCGATGGGGCTCTGTACAGAATGACTACCAAAAGTTAACACTTACCCAATAGCGTGCGGCAAACGACGGCTGGTGCGGTTGTTGGCGGTTTTCCGGCTTTGCGGTGGTTTTGTCATCGGTTGGCGGCGATATCTGCAAAGTCGTCTTGATGACGGCCGTCGAAGACGGTTTCGTCGTTATGGCTGACGTGCCGGTGACGGCCGCGCAGACGACGGCGGCGGCAAGCGCGATGACGGCCACCACCGTCCCGCCACTCACCATCACCCGCGTCGTTCTGTTCGTCATCGGCGGCCGCCGGCGGCAGGGTTCTGCGGCTGCGGTGGCCATCGTGTGGCGCGACAGGGTATCACTAGTTGTCGATCTCTGCCTCGGTCGGTGCCTATGAAACGAGCCGACTGCCGAGCTGCGACAAGATCGGAAAGAAAGTCGGTATGGAGATCGCCAGTGGCGGTGGTCAGTGACTGCGAAAAAACAACGACTACTGCGCGGGTGATGTGTGACAAAGCGACCGGTGTTGCGCGTCTTATTGGACCGTGAAAAAACGAACGACGGCGGCGCCGGTCATCGCGCCTTGGTTTTTGTCGTTATAATATAGTCGTTGTCGACGTCTTCGGTGCTGCTGATGCGGCCGGTTACTCCGCGTTACGGTCGTGTACTACCGAATGTCGGCGCTGTCGAGACGAAGAAAGCGACCACGGCGGCGATCGAGATTCCTCCTCCGCGACGGCGGCGGCGGCGGTTATCGCGTACCTACCTAATATTATACGAGAGAAATGTGTAATAGTATTATTATCATCATCGTACGACGGATATGCGCGCGAAAACGGATATTATGTTATTATATTTTATGATATTGTGACCGCCGCCGTCGAAATTCCCACCACCACCTCATCGTCCTCGTCGGCGGACGTGTGCGGCGGCGGCGGTCGTCGCGATCTTTCTCTTACCCGCCTTTTTTTCCCCGGAAATTTCTCTGTCCGTTAATATCGCGTTAATGACTGCTGCATGCAGCTGCAGCGTGCGGTTATTATACAGGGCGATTCTATAGAAAACAAAATTCTTCATCCGATTTCAAAAATTCATATTTATTTCAAAGACGAAGCAAAGCTGCAGCTGTGGGGGTGGGTGAAGAAAAAAATTAATTAAATCTAAGTAATCAAAACAATATAGTGTCTCACAAAATATGTTCAATTAAATGGCCTCATTGGCCATCCGGCACACGTCTGCATATTATATATAGATACTATATTATGAATACCATAGATATTCAAAATACGACATATTTTTATTTGTCCATCCTGTGCAGATACTTACTATTCGCCAATCATTACAAGCACACTCAAGACACGTTCGTCAGCAACGAAAATAAGATCGATTGACCATCTCATCTTAACGGTGGTGTATTGGTCGGTTATATACGTTTGCTGTGCCATGTTAATTCGCAATCAGATAGACACTTTTGAATCGTCCTGTATTGTGCACAAATCGTTGTCGTCGTCGTTGACGTACGTCTTCAACATTCTCCCACGCGGAGCACGAGTTTCCAATTTTCCCGGCTGTCAATAGTCGTATATTATTACATCCGAGAGTGCAGATCCACCTACCTTCACCCGTAACTATAAGGATACATGTCGGTGCATATAAATTGAATCCTATCAACGGGGAAAAAAAATAATATATTACCTGTTGATTGAGTCCTGGTATTAAGAAAAATGTATCAACTGAGTATGCGATTGGGAAACCAAAAATATACCAATTAAGTCTGCACTTGAGAAAAGTATAATATAATTAATACATCACGAAACACATAAAGATATTACTGTTCCGGTATTGGATTTACTTCAGCTCTTAAGCATTCGTTGAATCTGTCTCTGTGTTTACATAAAAAAAATAAGTCCAGAATTAAGAAGTGGAAAATCATAAAAATATAATCATTGTAATTTTGTTTGTACCTATTATCTATTCAACTGAAGCAAAACGAAAAATAATAGAGAGAGATATATAAATTAATTTTAACACGGGCGAAGTCAGTTATTATACAGCTAATAAATTATAAAATATTTTTAATTGTATTATTTCTAATGTTAGGTAGGTAGGTACTTAAAGTTAATATTCATTATTAACGATTTCTACAGTTGGTAGGTACTAAGTAAGTAGTTACAAAACTATTATATTATGTATACATAGGTACATTTTAGTAGTCAGTAGCCAGTATATTATCTACAGTAGCTATGCATATTAGATTCTGAAGAGATGAATGTATATTATATTTTATTGTTTTACAATTATGCGTTCTTATTTTGTGTCTAGGAGCAATAAAAATACTTTGATTTTCAACTTTGATGGTTTTTAGTATAAAATTAAGTTTTGTTTGATATTTTGAAGGGTAAAAAGTACCTAAAATAAGTTTTTCCCACCGGTGGGCTATAAAGTGGAAATCCTGGAATATAGCGGATGGTAAAGTGGAAATACCCAGTAAGAAATGTTACTGTCCAAATCAGAATCTGGATACTTGCTGGAAGCCCGAGTGGAAAGTATGTTACTCCTATGCTGTTCTATATACAACAGCGGCGTGACAAAAATAGTATGTGTGACTTGTGCGGAATGTTAATTTCAATCTTGCACGGATTGCAGCCTTTGCCCGTGGCTCGTGCCGAAAACGCCATTTACTTAGCAGCTGAAACTGCTCACTTACCCTTTACATTACCCTTCCACACAAAATATGCTATTGTCTGTTTTTGGACTTTATTTATAAACATATTGAAGATTTTATTTCCAATTTATGTATCATAATATAGTTTTTGTTTTACACCATTCTACAGTACACCAGTATATAAGTTCATAACATAAAAATATATTAAACATAATTTTCTTAGAAATATAGGCTCACAATCGTTTATCGTTTGCAATAAATTATCATTAAATTCAAATTTAACACATCCATATTATTACGGTGATCTACTCAATGACGATAGATACGAAAATAACATGACACCAGCTACTATACAAATGAGCGTCTTCTCTTGATTTTAATTTATATTACTTTCATATTTTAAAATATTATTATTGCCACAAATTAAATTTGCGTCTTGCGTCTTTGGTGCTTACGGCGTACGTTGTGTTGCACCATAACGTATTAGTGGTATTGTTTTATATTGGTGCTTATGCTGTTATGCCTCATTAATTTTGGCACAAAATAATAATATGTAGGTACTGTAATGATTGCCACTCCTTACAATTAATAACAAGAGTGCGAAATCATCATAATCATTATTATTTGTATTATATTGTATATTATTATGTCCTTATCTACACAAACCTATTCTCGACGACACCCATCTGTCCGATCTAGACAACAGCACTCCTCCTACGTATGTCTTCGGTTGTGGTCATACACGTAGTTGACTATGTAGGTACCTATATACTTGGTAAAATGTTTGTACTTTTAAACAAAATATAAACTATTTTGAGTATTTCTAATACTTACGTATATACATTTTGCTCTTGTCTAATATCCAATTATAAATAAATCAATTATCAAATCTTTTCTTCATCATTCGTTCATCGAACATATAACAAGTCTGCAGTTGAATTCTTAAGGTAAGTTAATTTATTATAAAATTGATTAGTCATGTGTACGTTAAAAACATGAATACGTATATATATTGCACAAATTTAATATTTTTACATTGTTACAAGTGGCGCCTAAACTCGTAGCTCGTAATACACAAAAATGAAAATAATAATAAAATATTAATTAATAATCATTAAAGAGTATAAAAAATTGAATTACCTGCTCAAACAACAAAATATGATCAATGAAACTACAGACTCAGATCAACTTAATGATAATTTAAACACAAACAATTTAACACTCCTTTCAAACGAATTATCTAAAAGTTACTAAATCCTCAATTAATAACTAAACTGAAGAAACGAAAACTAATCACCATGGGACACAGTTAACGAATTGTATATATTTAGCGCTTAAATTATGTATAGCTGCATTTGAGTAGGTATATATACAGGATTATTCTGTTATTAGGTACTTATTCTAATATCAATACCTATATCTAAAATGTTATTTTTTTCGGTAATTGTAATATGCTTTATTAAAAATATATTTTTCACATACCTAATTAGAAATTATTGCAAGACAACATTAAAAAAAAAATATAATATATTTTCAGCTATTTTTATCATTATTATTTTTTAAGTTATTATTAGCTTACGGAACAATATTTTTAACATTAAACTTCATATTCCAAAGCAAAAATTTTTTCTGAACATTTTCGAATAGGTAGAGAATAATATCATACTAGTTGATTACTATAAGGCTTATAAGCATTTATATTTTTCACATTTTTTATGAACAGTGTTAAACGTGGCACAGAGGTGCTCCGCTAAATGTTGGTTCACTACTCCGCTCATATAAACTTTAATGACTTACAACTAATTAACTAGGTACTGGTTCGAGATTATTAGTTTTTATCTGTTTTTATTTATTTTACATATTTTATACTTGTTTTAACCATGTAGCAAATCGTACCGGATGTAAAATATGTATTAGGTTTTTCACATATTATGTACTATACGGGTATATGTATTGATGTGCTATGTTTTATAGCGATTTCTACGACTATATGAGGTTAAAATATATCATAATAGTATCTAACGATATATTTATCTATTTACTATGTCTGTATACTAATTTGTACATTTATTTTAATTTTATTTATAGAAATAAATTTCGATCGGCTCTTTACGTGTAGGTTAGATGTACAATATGATATCAAACAACACATAAATATAGTTGTTAATGTTGTCATTACCAACTTATAACATCAATAAAATAAGTGGTATAATGGAAAACAATTACAGTAAAAAAATACAAAGTTAAGTATTTAAGGCCAAATATCAGTATTAATATAATTTTAAGAGCACATAGTTCTGATCACAAGTGGTCATTCATTAAAACATTTGAAAGGGAATACAAAATATCTCGTTGGATCTTGTATGATCCATCGGAACTCATAAGCCTACAGTCTTACGCTCGATAAACCGAGGTAAATAAATCTTTCCAACCAGTAACTGTATTACCGTGGTACAAAGTTTTCACCTGTTCCAAAGTTCCATTAAAAGAACCAACAGTTTGAAGATTTAACCAATAAATGGGAAATTAGATACCAGACAATAATTTATGCAAAAATGACTGTTCAATGACTTATGTAGAAACAACTGTTTTTTAGATAGGTATACAATAAAAACATATACAATATAATATAATAAAATATATAGCTATATCGCTCCAATTTAGGGTAGAGTTT